TGGTGTTGGTGAAGAATATTGAGTATACCATGCACTGCCAGAAGAATGAACAAATCTGTCTTGGAAAAAGTACAGCCAGAATGGTCCTTAGAAGCAAGAATGGTGAGACTTTGCCCCACATACTTTGGACATGTTATCAGGAGGGATCAGTCCCTGGAGAAGGACATCATGCTTAGTAAAGTAGAGGGTAAGCGAAAAAGAGGAAGACCCTCAACAAGATGGATTGACATGGTGGCTGCAGCGATGGGCTCAAGCATAGCAATGATCGTGGGTATGGTGGGGGACTGGACAGTGTTTTGTTCTGTCGTACATAGGGTCGCTATGTGTCAGAACCGGCTTGATATCACCTAACAACAACAACATATACATATACGTGTGTGTGTGTGTGTGTGTATATATATATATATATAAAATATACACACACATATGTACCTATTTTACACAAATAAGGCGTGCTTTCTGCATTTGTTTGCCAGCTGTGCTCCTCTGCCCCTTGCAAGACACCCTCACAAATGCCGCCATGCCAGTCCTCTTCTACATGTTGCTGTAAAGAAATTAGCATAGCACACTTATGAAAATACCTCAGGGGGAAGGGCATGGTCACAGAAGGCACTTGCTATTTGCGTAAAAATATGGTACATACATACATACACACATATGCACAGACACATGCAAATTTTTCAGAATCAGTTGAAAGTCAATTGCAGATATCATAATACATCAACCTTAAATATCTCAGCATGCCTCTCTTAAGACTGTGACACCCGGAAAATTAATCTCAGTATTCTCAAATATACAGCCCATATTTAAATACTCTAATTCTCTCCAAAATATCTTTTATAGCTGTATTTATGTATTTATTCAACTCATGTTCTAATCAAGGTTTATGCATTGCACTTGGTTGTGTCTCTTAAGTTTTCTTTCATGTAGAAGAGTCCCATATACTGCAATCTTTTTTGCTTTTCATGACATTGGTTTTTTTGAGGAGTCCAAGCCAAATGTTTTGTAGAATGTCCCACATTGTGGACTTGTCTGATTGTTTCCTTGTGGTTAGATTCAGGTAAACATTTTTGGCAAGAATACTACATAGGTGATATTTCATACTTCTATTTCATTATATTAAGAGACATGTAATGGCCTGTTGTCCCAGTGACTGCCAGATCTCTCCATCAGAAATGCACATTTCCCCCTTTGTAATCTGTGGGGCAAAACTTTGAGATGGCATAAATATCCTATTCTCCTCAAATCAATGGTTTTAGCATTCATTGATGATCCTTGTCTGAATCAATTATTTCACTGGTGGTTGTAAAGTGATGATTTTATAAGTTATTTCTCATTTCTTCTAAATATATCAGCTGATGTTCTTCCACCCTTTTTGGTATCACAATCCACTCATATTCTTTATTTTTTATTCAATATATTATTATCCATGGTTGCCATTACTCTTTTAGATTCTTAAATTGTCCTAAATTTATTTATTTTTGTAAATTCATTTTTTTGGTGAAAATATATACAACAAAACACACCAATTCAACAATTTCCACATGTACAATTCAGTGACATTGGTTACTTTCTTCAAGTTGTGCCACTTTCTTGACAATCTTTTCCAAACTATTTTACCATCATTAATACAAATTCAACTCCTCCCCCTATCTTCTCATTTATCATTTTGAGTTGCTGTTGCCAATTTGATCACATATAGATAATTCTTTAAAAGAGTATAATGCTTAATGCAGACATTCTTTTCTAATTAAGCTAAACTGTTATTTGGTTCAAAGATGACTTCAGGGGATAGTTTTGGTTCAAGGCTTAAAGATTTCTTCAGGGTAGTTGTTTTGGAGGTCATCCAGCTTCAATGGCTCCAGAAAGCGTGGGTTCCATGAGAACTTGAAATTCTATTGGAGATGCACTTACTTTTTAAGGGAACAAAAATATATTCCTCTACATATTCTAATTTTTATCTCAAGAGTTTTTCAAAATTAGATTGTAACATTTGCATCAGAATCACTGGAGGCACATGCTGAAAATGGAGATGCCTGGGTCTCATATCATGTCTGTTGAATCAGAATCTTGGTGTCATGTGACTCTTAGAAGGGGCACGGTTTTTCACTCTATTATGGAGATTTTCAAGCATACTCAAAAGCAGAAAGAATAATTTAATGAATCCTCATTTACCCATCCCAGCCTCAACAACTACAGGTAGTCCCTGGGTTACTAAAGTCTGACTTATATACAACCTGTAGTCATGAACCAACTCTTGTAAAGCCTATTATATTAAAAATTTAGGTACATGCAATGGTTTGTAATAATGGGCGCTACTTTGCAATGCACATAAAAACATTATTATTACTGTATTATGTTAAAGGCCTTTTAATGTATGTAGAAGCGTTTCTTTAATGTTTTCTATGCATAGAAAGGTACACGATATACTATATACTAAGGCAAATATTTGACTGACATCAGATATGAACTGTACCTAATTGTTCCAACTTATGTACAAATCCAATTTAAAGACAGATTTAGGAATGGTACTTGTTCATAATTTGGGGACTGCCTGTATTAACTTGTTGTCAATCCTCTTTCATCTATCCCTTCACCCCACCATATACATATACTTATTTTGTTGGAGTATTTCATAGCAAATCAGAGACCTCAGGTCATTTCACCTGTAAATAATTCAGCATGCAGCTCTAACAGATAAGGACTTAAAAAAATTATAACCGTAATATATTCGTTCCTAACAAAATTAAAAATGATTCCTTTATATCATCTAATACCCATTCCATATTCAGATTTTAGCAATCATTTCCAAAAATGTCTGTTTTACAGTTGGTTTGAAATTCAGATTCAATTAGTCAAACAAATTTATACATTGATACATTGTGTTTTAAAATTAAGTCTCTTTTAAACTACTATATTCTCCTTCCTCTGTTTTTTTTTTTTTTTCTTTCCACCTGCATATTTTTTTTTGGTAGTTATTGAAGATACCAGATCCCTTTTCCTGTAGCATGAACCACTTTCTATATTTAGTCAATGTCTTCTTCATGATGTCATTTACCACGTTCCTCTATCCCCTATGTTTTCTGTAAATTATTTCTGGTTATATCTAGTGGCTTGATTATATTCAAGTTTTTGTTTTCTCTGGCAAGAATATTTCAGAGGCAGTGCTCTGTACTCCTTCCTGTATCCCATTATGAGACACACCATGTCTGGTTGTCACATATCTAAGCATTGGATGCTAAGACGTTAAGATTAGTAAGGGGGTTAAGGTGGTGTCATTGAGATCCTTTCTTTACAAAGTTTCCCATTAGCCTTTCATCTTACTTCTTCAACATCCATTGATAACTGTTGCCTAGATGGAATGGGCAGCTTTTATTCGAGCTCCCCAGATATCTCTTGTTGTGTGCTGTTGAGTCTATTCCAACTCATAGCAACCCTATAAGACAGAGTAGAACTGCCACATAGAGTTGCCAAGGCTGTAAATTTTTAAGGACTCAAGTTCCACATCTTTCTCCTGTGGAGCAGATGGTGGGTTTAAACTACCAGCCTTTCAGTTAGGAGTGCTTAATCCCTGCACCACGAGGGCTCCTCAGATACTTCTTAGCATACTAAAAATTACAAATCATTGGTTTAAATAAAACTGTTTCCCAAATGCTTCTAAACCTTTCTCAGTCACGAGACCTTCAGAGAAATGGTACAGTGTAATGAGTGGGAGCTGGATATTTTCTGTTCCGGTTCTTGTTCTGCCACTAAATTCTTGTGTGACCCTGGGCAACTTTATTGCCCTCTCTGGGCTTTATTTTTCTCCACCTGAACAGGCATGGATATAGTGAACTCTAAAGGCTCTTCTTGCCCTAAATTTTTTTTCAGAATTTTGGTAATTGTTAAAACTTAGTGAGAAAGAATGGACAATTACAAGACATCCATTATAATTGCCCCATGATCTCACCTGACTGATCATCAGAGTGACTCCTAATTAGGAGACAGATGAGCTACTGAAGCCCAAGAGAGGAGCTATGTAAGGGATCTTAGCAGCCCCAATATTGACTCACTCACTACCTCCTGAGGGACTCTGCTAGGAAAGGCTTCTGGGTTAGGTTCTTGGTCAAATGTCTGCTCCATCACTATCTATGTCAATGTCCTTGGACATGATATTTTATCTTTATGAGTCTTGGTCACCTCATATTTCAGAGACAATAAAAATTCACCCCCACAGTAGTCAAAACAGCCTGGTACTGGTACTATGACAGACACATAGACCAATGGAACAGAATCAAGAATCCAGATGTAAATCCATCCACCTATGGTCAGCTAATCTTTGACAAGGGAACAAAGTCTATTAAATGGGAAAAAGATGGTCTTTTTAACAAATAGTTCTGGAAAAACTGGATGTCCGTCTATAAACAAAGGAAACAGGACCCATGCCTCATATCATACACAAAAACTAAATCAAAATGGATCAAAGACCTAAATATCAAACCAAAAACAATAAAGATCATGGAAGAAAATATAAGGACAATGCTAGGGGCCCTAATACATGACATAAATACAATACAAAGCACAACTAACAAAGCACAAACACCAGAAGATAA